AGGAATTCATGAAATAAATCTGTTTGTAGTTGATTTAAGGAGAAACAGGCTGGGAGCTCGCTCAGATTGCGTCCGCCATATTCCGCGACGCTCCGCCTCCCCCCTGCTGCACTCCTTTTATCACAGGTATACTATCTGTTAAAAGACCTTTCCTTGACCACCTGACCTGTGGAGTTGTGCTAGTGTAATTGAATCAAATACAATAAATGTTTTGAAATTGCATACTTTTATAGCTTGGCCCACAACTTTTTCTGCTTATAGTATCAAATTTCAATTTTAAGTCAAAAAAGGCAGCATATAGTCCATTTATCTTTAAATATTTCTCAGCCAAATGTGACAAGATTATCCTGTTATACATTATAGAATAGCCCTTCCTGAAGCCAAATTGTTCAGGTCCCAAAATATTTCAATTGTCCATCCAAGACTTCAATTTGAATTCCAAATGTATGGCATACAATTTGCCCAGCACAGAAAGCAAACTACTGGGCCTGTAAGTCACAGCATCTAATCGAGTACCCTTATTTTTGTAGATAGGTACCACCATTGATGACTGCCAGTCTGCAGGGATTTCACCTGTTTGATCTAACATAGTGGGGGAAAACAGCCAGAAGTGAAGCTCACCAAGTGGAACTTAAGAGGAACAGTTCAGAGAAAATGCCATCTAGACCTGCAGCCTTGCCAGGTTTTAGGCGATGTAGGGTTGCCATGTTCCTTCATCGCTCCGGCAGGGGGATTGGAGGAGGGGTGTTCTAGGAATTCTATTTTTATCATCTTAAAATGCTTTTCAACAACACATACCGTTGTGTTTAGATTAGATGTATATAACAGGTGAATGTCCACACAATTATGTCATGATTGGGGGGGTACATGGGAGGTCAACTGATAAAGATAACTGACACAACCAATCTGAAGGTAGGGTTACCAACTTCCAGGTGGGGTATGGAGATACAGATGAGTTCCCCTGAAGAAAACAGCTGCTTTGGAGAGTGGGCACTGTAGTGTATTCTGAAGCTGCCAGGAATACCTAAAGTGTATTGTGAAACACCTAATTGGGAAGCTATGTTAAGCTTCGTCTTGAACAAGGATTGAAGTCCAAGACTTAAGCGGCCAATCAGGTTCGCATGTATATAAGCGGGAAAGACTCTGATTGGTCCATTATGCGCTCAACCTGATAGGTTGATATCTGTATAGTAGGTGTGGCTACATTAGCCCGGAATGTTTAAATACCGAGCAGCTGCAATGGAAAAGCTGTTCGGGCTATCAGAAGTTGTACCGTGTTAGAGAAGTGATTGTCGAGCTGAAATAAACCTGAGTTTTGCTGAAATCACTCTCTGACTATTTTGTTAAGCACTGGACTTAACAGGCACTATGGTGGCTTCACATCTCTCCTGAGCTCCCTTCTATCCCCAAACTCTGCCCTCCCCAGGAATCACCACCAAGTCTCCAGGCATTTCCCAAGCAAGAATTGGCAACCCAATATGAAGGCCTGTTTATGAGCACTTCTACAGTTCCAGAGGGATTGCTATATCAGGTCTATATGAAAATGGCTTGTGTAACAACCTTATTTATTTAACCGTATTTATATTATTTTATTTTAACCTTATTTAACCTTTATTTACCTAACCTCATTTATTTATTTAATCAATTTGTATCCCACCTTTCTCCCCAGTGGGGAACCAAAGCCGCTTACATCATTCTACTCTGTTCCATTTTATCCTCACAACAACCCTGTGAGGTAGGTTAGGTTGAGAGGCTGAGAGAGGGTGACTGGTCCAAGGTCACCCAGGAAGCTTCCATGGTTCAAGTGGGGATTCCAACCCAGATTTCCCAGGTACTAGTCTGACACTCTTAACCACTACACTCTCACAAGTTTGTGCCCCACGGCCCCCACCAATCTGTTAGGCTTTACAGTACCACTAGCTTTCTTTTTCTTTTTGGAAAGTGAAATTCTTAATACAATTTTTGTTTTTACCGTTCAGTAGCAGCATGAGGAAACCACACACTGACAACCTTGGTCTGGGAAAGATGGGGGGGGGGCCCTTCAAAATAAAAATTAAAGACTTTCCTTCATAACCAGGATATCCTTTCTATTCAGTCATGTGGGGCATGATGGCATCTGCTTTACAAATAGGGGACATGATATGTGGAAAAATCAATCCTGCTTTCTCTTAGTTGCTCAGAGAAATTACCGCAGGGTAATTCATACTTCCTGTTCTGAATCTTGTGCCGAGTCGTGGCTCAATTAACAAAGGAGTTTTCTGTTCTTTGAAGACCTCTTTCCCCTCCTGTTACTGAAATCCACAAATCCTTAACTAGTTCTTGAAAGCAGCTGATTTGTCCCACCTGTAATTAGCTAGTGACCTTTGTAGGGTTTGTGGGGCACAGGGCCAAGAGAGTCTGCCCTTTTCCTCTCCTGTCCTACAGATCCATCTCTTCCATGCAGCTTCGGGTTCAGTTTTTCATCCAGTTCCCCACCTAGCGGGACTCTCTGAATATTGATCTGTAATGTAGAATGGCTGGGCGGGACTAGGCTGTTTTCCTCGAAGCTACACTGAGAGTTAATACTGGAAAGAGTCCCTGCTCTTATGTGTCCTTCACCAGGGAACTGAGTGGGGAGGGAGAGACCAGGCATATCACCATCCTGGACTTTGACTACGAGCAGAACTTTTGTCTGCTCTATTCAGCTAAACAGAGCAGAGGAGCAGCTTCTACTGGTAGCGTCTGGCTGAGCTGATCAACACCCACACCTTGTGAGCAGGTAAAGGGGACATGGAGGGGTAGGTGGGTTGGCTCCAATGTTCCCTCTAAGCTGTGGAGTCTTGTGAGCAGAAATTCTACTTTGTGAGCTACTGGCATTAAAGTTGTGAGCGACCTGTATGGTCCTGCAGCCTTGTGAGTGGGCATGAGAGGGAACATGCCCATTTTGAAGCCAGGTCCAGTTCTCCAGGGTGCAAGCTGGAGCTTTGTTCTACTCCTGGAAGCTGAAATCTTGTATGTGAAAGATAACAGTGAGGTTTTTTTTTAACCATTTAAAGTTTTATTTTCAAAATATCAGATACAGCAGAAATGGGATAAACGCATAAAACTACAATTTCTTATAAAACAAGAAAAGGAGAAAAACATTCAAGACGATTTCCAAAGTCATTAGTTAACATTACACAAACTACGGTAAATCCAGTTTTAGCAAACAAAAGTCAGAATGGTCGTTACCGGCATAACATTAACTAGGTAGCAATCGTATCAGAGTTGAACATAGAAATAGACTGTAATATTAACACTTCCATTGGGTGGGAATGGTGGAAAACTGACTCACTGCGTGACATAAGATCTATAATAGGGTACCATAATTCCACAAAATGAGATATGTAGAGGTCAGAGCTTGTCTGGTTTTGTTGATCTAGAATCTTATCCATTACATAAAAGTCCCATATCCGTTTATACCATGCCGAGAATGAGGGGGGCTTGCTGCTTTTCCATGATGCTGCTATAACAAAACGTGCAGCAGCACATAAAAGTGCTATCAAATCTTTTCTTATTGGCAGTATATCTGTTTTATGCCATAAATTTAAAAGCAGCAGTTCTGGACAGAGAGTGAGGGCTGTCACGTTGGATCCCAAGCCCCAGTTTCACAGCAAAATATTTTAAAGGAATATAATTTTAAATCTTAAATTCAGTGTCCAATTCTGCCATTGTCTATTTTTTTTTAGTGAATCCATACTTCTATTCTTCTTTGATCATTCCTTCTTATTAGTTTGATTGACCTGGTTTGCTACACTGGGGTGTCTCCCCGCCTGACTTGCTGATAGGGAATTCTTTGGGAGGGGGCTTTGTGGGGCCCACCAGCTAATTAAATGGAAGTACAGTGCAGGTGGTAAGTTGGAGCACTTTGGGGGCAGCCCAGGAGGGAGGGGCCCCAGAAGAAACACGAGGGGGCCAGGCCCCATGGGCCCCATGTTAGCTACAGGCCAGAGGAGCAGTGGCATCCCGGTTTTATGGTTGTCTCTGCATGTCTTCAGAGAGCAAGCCAACAGTTGTGCAATTCTGAAATCCCCTCTTTAGCCTTGCATTGGATCACACAGCAAAGACATGCTGAGCAGTTAGAACAGTTGTGTGTGGACTTTGCTCAAAGGTAACTGCAAAGGCTCACCCTAGAACAGGATGTTCTTCTCCAGCTGAAGGGCAAAGCCCATGGCAGAGGCTCCATTCCCCCATGTATCCAGTTCAGACCGTGTGGCCTGCTTGGGCTCCACGCGGTCAGGAGCAAACGTCGAGCTTCGCTCAAAGAGACAATGGACTATGCGGATCCTAGCCCGCACCAATCAGGGGGCTAGGTTCGCGGCTGAGAGCCTATGGAACTCTCGGCCACTGTAAATAACCTATTAGGAAGTGGGGGGGGTGTTTTGGGTGGCGGTTTCCAGGGGAATATAAGCCGGCCTGCGAGCCGGCCAAGGTGTCTTGTTCCTGATCGAATAAAGTACGCTTTGCTGAAATTACTCTCCGTCTGCGTACTTTTCAGTAAATCTGTTTTCCCAGCAGCAGGGACTTCTGTGAACATCATCTGAAAAATAAAATATCTAAGGTTGTGGTCGCACAGGCCAGAAAAATGGGGTGGGGTGGGGAAGCAAGGCTATTGGAAAAAGTGCAGAAAAGGGCAACTGGAATGATAAAAGGTTGGAACACTTTCCCTATAAAGACGCTTGGGGCTGTTTAGCTTGGAGAAATGACGGCTGAGGGGTGACATGATTGAGGTTTATAAGATTATGCATGGAATAGAGCAGGTTGAGAAAGAAGTACTTTTTCCCCTTTCTCACAATACAAGAACTCGTGGGCACTCAATGAAATTGCCGAGCACTAAGGTTAAAACAGATAAAAGGAAGTACTTCTTCACCCAAAGTGATTAACACATGGAATTCACTGCCACAGGAGGTGGCGGCTACAAGTACGGACAGCTTCAAGAGGGAATTAGATAAGCATATGGAGCAGAGGGCCATCAGTGGCTATTAGCCACAAGGTATAGATAGGGGCTCTGGGGCAAGTGATGCTCTGTCATCTTGGTGCTTGGGGGGGGTCAACAGTGGGAGGGCTTCTAATGTCCTGGCCCCACTGCTGGACCTCCTGATGGCACCTGGTATTTTTGGCCACTGTGTGACAGAGTGTTGGACTGGATGGGCCATCGGCCTGATCCAACATTGGCTTCTCTTATGTTCTTATTTCCTTTGGAGGAATTTGACCCACAGTTGCACGATCACACCTCCCTTTGAAGCTGTGGGTGTGGTCCATCAGCGTGTGATGATACGCAAGTGTGGGTGAGTCGGGTTTTGTGTGTGTGCCGTTTTCCCCCATGTGCTTAACCAAGGGATTGATGAATGACATCGCTGCACGGAGGTCTCCCTATGGAGTTTGCGATGATACACATACTGCGAAGGGGGGGGAAACAATGGCACAGAGTCCGGATGGCCTGATCAGACCATCCCGACACCATGAGAGCACGCTGGAGCAATCAGACATAGAAAAGTCCGTCTTTGGTTGCAACCCATTTACTGCCAGATTTTCCCTGGTTTCTTTTAACTCGGCTTCTGTGGCAAAGCAGAACAAGTTGCTGATGGCTGCGGGGCACTTCCCAGATGTTGTTGTCTGGTTGCGCCCTTTAAATCTGCCCGGCATTCGTGCCTGTCTTGGGTCTAATTGTGTGTATGATTGCAGCCTAACTGATGCAAATTGATGGAAACCATCCCTAGTGGGAGTGGCTGGGCTGCAGCTTTACTCTGAGGCAGCAGATGCTAGAAGCCATGGGATTTGCTTCCTGGTAGCAACCAAAAAAGAGTGGTCCCGTCATTTCTGCATCCTGCCGTCATGTATGAAGATAGGAAGCTGCCTTATAGAGAGTCACTGTTATTGCTCCATCTAGCTCAGTATTATGTCTCTCTGGTAGACGTTTTGACAGGTGCTGAGCAGAGAAATGTCTTTTCCAACACCTGGTACCTGACATCAGTTTCTTTTTAAACTGAAGATGCTGGGCCTGGACCTTCTGCGTGCAAACCGTGTGATCTTTTTCGAAGCCAGCAGCCTTGAATCAGCCATCCTGGGGCATAAGTTGCTTCCATACAAGGAACAGAAGAAACCCCCTGAATTCAATGGGAATGTTCATTCTGAATATGAATCATGTGTAGGGTTGGCAACGGCCTGGAACAAGAAATCTGTCCTGTCCCTTTAATACTGGCTTGATGAGATTTTATTTTACCTGATGGTATTATATGCCTCCATGCCATGAAATGCTTCTGCTTGCCATTCCACATGTGAAAGGGGCACGAATATGTTTCTCTAGGCTAGCTGGCAACTTTATGGGCTTCTTTCTGCAGATTTAAAAAAAAAATCCTCCTTGACCGGGTGTTCCAGGGTAGCTGCAGATGCTCCACCCACTGTCAGTATGGGAGGAGGGTGGAGCTAAGCTCTGCTTTCAGAATGGCAGGCCTCTCACTGCCACGCCCCATCACCCCCACTTGGCCCTCTAAAAGGAAGGTTGCCAACCTCCAGGTGGTGGCTGGAGACCTCCTGGGATTACGACTGATCTCCGGGTGACAGAGATCAGTTGCCCTGGAGAAAATGGCCCCTTTGGAACGTGGACTCTATGGCGTCATACCCCACTGAAGCCTCTCCCCTCCCCAAACCCCATCCTCCTCAGTCGCCACCCCCAAAATCTGCAGGTATTTCTCAAGGTGGAGCTGGCAACCCTATTTAAAAGGCTTTTTCCTTTCCCAGCTGAACTACTACCTGGCTTCACAGTGCAGCTCAGCTGGGAAATGGAGATGAAAAGCTTCTGGGTGGCAGGAAGGCTTGCCGTAGTTGATGTTGCACCATGTGTATTTGTGACAGAGGGAAAGGGGTCAGGGAGTTGCAGCAGCAGGGTGATTCACTGATTCACAAGGCCTTTGCTGCTGCAGAGATTTGTTTTCACACCCCCATGAAGATCGCTCCAGCCACAGTTATCTTTGGTTCTACACCCCACAGAGCCTGAGATAACATAGCCTGGAGCACTGTTGTACACGCTACATAATGCACTTTCAATCCACTTTCAATGTACTTTGCAACTGGGTTTCGCTGTGTGAAATGGCAAAATCCACTTGCAAACGATTGTTGAAGTGGACTGAAACTGCGTTATTTAGCATGTGTGAAAGCGCCCAACAGTGTGATTTCTCATCTCAATATAATGTGGACTACTAAACCCCATCTAGGGTTCCTCCCTCTCTGGCCTAAATTAGCATGAGTTAGGATTGTACAGTGGTGTTTTATGCAGTGCTGCATGGGTGAATTTTCATATATATCTAAATGCATTGACATTATGAATGTGTTGTCTGTGTTTTGATCCCAGAGGTGTGAGAAGCCTTGCAAACATATCCTGATGTGTAGCCCTTACCAATTCCAGAGTAACCAGAAACCAGACAGAACTTTTGTCTCACATTTGGTCCTCTTGGGAGGAATTATATAAAACTGTGAGTTAATTATGTCCTCCTGGCCCTCTACTCACTGAAAGAAAACATGGAGTTGGACTTCATGTAATTCAAGGCACCCCAGGTCCTGTTCCTGATTTGGATCAGGCATGTTACAAAATGAGGTTATGAAACCCCACCCCCACCCCCACCTTGTCCTGGGAGTCTGGAGCAGGGGGCTAATCCTCTAATACCTAATGTCTGGGTAACAGGGACCAAGGGTCTGTCATGTGAGAGGAAGCTGAGCAAAAGTTTCCCAGGGCTTGGAATGGGATCCATGAGCTGCATTAGCTCCATAAAGCTCAGAGATTAATGTGATACCATCAGGGAAATAGTTTCCCAAAGATCTGTTTCACTAGCACAATTGCACTGGGTGTTTTCACAGTCTTGTGTCTTGGTGAAGCTCAGCCGAGGAGACTACAGCTAGGATGCCCTGCTTTGATTCTTAGCTCTTTCAGAGGTTGGGGGCAGGTGAGCCCAAGCCACCTGTGCCGGTCTCTTTCTTTAGAGTGGCTCTCTTTTCTGTATCCTGTTTGCTTAAATGAATGTACTTTAAAAAGTTAGGCTTCCTAATTTCTTCTTTACCCTTGAGGGAAATCCCTACTTCTATTATTCTTTGACCGTCCTGATTCTGGACACAAGGCCCAATTAACTCAGGCATTCCCAGGAGTGCTAACTTTTTGAAAGCACGTAGGTGTGTGAAGATGGAAAACTTGTGTGATTTGTACAATGCCAGTGTAACTTGGATTTGGTAGGGTCAGATCCAAATGTTGAACCGTTATACAAATCAATGTGTGCATGGATCCATCTTCACCCAGCTATGCTTTTAAGCAGCTGTCGTGCTTTCAAAAGAATACTAGAAGTGAAGCACACCTCAAGGAACAGTTAAAGGATATTAAAATTAAGTGATTAATCTGTATTGACTGTCTCATATTTTGAAGGTGGACAGATCACTTTTTTCTCTCTGTCTCAGATTTGTCCCTCTCATGTCTTTATGCTAGGATCTGTTTCTACCAGAAGATGGAGCTGGAATCCTGCTACCTTCTGATGCTGTTATCCCCTCTAATCCCAATCACACCCTGGCTGGTGCCTGCGGCCTTGTCCAGGATGGGTTGTCATAGCAACCAAAGGCAATCCTGGAGAAGGGACGTCAGAATACATATTTCCGTAGCACACTGTAGGAAGGTGCACGTGAGGCCCTACTAGAGGTGTTATAGTATGGTATGAACAAAGTTTGAGCCCAGTGGCACTTTTAAGACCAACAAAGTTTTATTCAAGGTATAAGCTTTCGCATATGCACACAGTTCTTCAGATACAAGGAAATGGAAATTACCAGACCGTACATATAGGTTGAAGAGGAGCAGTAAACTAGCATACAGCATAATGAAGATGTTTAACAGATTCAAGGACCAAACAGGAATAACAAGCTTAGTTTATGTGGTTACCATTTGTTTGGGTTTAATTCCAGGGGAAAACATAGTGAAGGAAATCAATATGTCAAATTTGGAGATTGATGGGCGGATGTGTCCTTAATTGTGGGATGCTGAGAGTAATTAACTGAGACCTTGCCAGTATAGTATCATACTGTTTGAGATGGCATGACTCCACAGTCAAATACTTCAGTTGGAGCTTTGGGAAAAGTTTGCATCTACCTGCTAGTGCAAGGATAAGAGAAGAGTCATGGACTGTACTTCTGACGAGTCAAGTCTCCCCTAGAGGGTAATACAAATAGTTTTGATCCCAGTCATAGACAGTCCCTGACTACTCTACTGACTTCTCCAACTCTTTTGCTGAACAGAGCTGGTTCAGATTACATGCCCACACTGTCCCTCCCCCCCAATTAGGCTTGTATCCTTGTATTTAAGTGGTCTCACTCTATTTTTATTTTCCCCCCTCCGTGTCTATAGCACTATACCAGAAAGGCAGAGGTGTGGAGAGATTTATTTACTTATGTACTTTATTTATACCCCATTTTGCTATTCTTTAAGGACCCAAATCGGTTTACATTGTTCTCCTTTCTTCCTTTTTATCCTCACAATAACACTGCATGGTAAGTTGTGTGTGACTGGCCCAAGGTCACCCTGCAATCTCCCATGACATAGTGGAAATCTGACCCTACTTCTCCCAGACCTTAGTCTGATACTCTAACCACTACACCACACTGGCTTTCATGTCAAAGGAGGAGTCTCAGAAAGAAGGGTGCTTTGTGTTACGGTTACTGATGGTAGGAGACGGCAGCAATGTGCTGAGGTATTGATGTTTGTGTGAACAGTTGGTAAGAGATCTGGCATCTATGCCCACATTGCAAACACATGTAAAAGACTGTTTACCACTGCTCAGAGTCCAGCAGGCTAGTATCTAGAATGTTTTATTGTCAATCTCTATGGCCCACTCAAGCAGTGGTTCTTAATCTTTAATTCACTACCATCCACCAAGTACCCAACATTCTAACCAGGGCTTTTTTGTTAAAAAAAGCCCAGCAGGAACTCATTAGCATAATTGGCCACACCCAACAGCAGAAACGTATTATCTTATTAGGCCACACCCCTGACAGCACAGTTCATTAGCATATGAGGCCACACCCCCGTGTTACCAGACGTGTGCTCACCTAGCCACACCCACCCTTTGCTTCTTATTCTGTTTACCTTGTTTGTTGTCACCAGGGCTTTTTTTGTAGCAGGAACTCCTTTGCATGTTAGGCCACACGCCCCTAATGTAGCCAATCCTCATGAGTTTCTGCTGTTGGGTGTGGCCTATTATGCTAATGAGTTTCTGCTGAGCGTGGCCAACTCAGGAGCCAGCCGGAACTCCGTTCCTGCCCCAAAATAGCCCTGATTATAACTGAATGCCTCCCATGCTACAAGTTAAAAAAGGACATTAAACCATCCCTTTGGACAAGGTAACTTACTTTATATAGGTATATTTATGTGCCGCAATCCTATACTTCCAGCTGTTTCCGCTTATCCCTGCAGGCCTTTGGCTAGATTCTCTGCTATGTGGCTCTACGTGCTGCTCGTGAGCTTCCTCTGGGCTGCAGTTTGGTTCTTCCGTGACCGGCAGATGTTGAGCTCCTTCAAGGATAAGTATGTTTTCATCACGGGCTGTGACACCGGCTTTGGGAACATGCTGGCCAAGCGACTTGACAAGAAGGGTTTTCATGTGCTGGCAGGCTGCCTAACCCTAAAAGGGGCAGACAGCCTGAAGCGGGCCACATCGCCAAACCTTCGCACCATGCTGATTGATGTCACCAACTCTGAGAGCATCCGCAAAGCAGTGGAGTGGGTGCAGACTGAAGTGGGTGGAAAAGGTGAGTCTCACCCAGTGGGTATCAGGAAGAAAACATAGGCTGAGACAGGGCTGGTGTCAGCAAACTCTGAGGTGGAGCAGCTGCCAAGGCCCAGAGTTTCTGGCAAGACCTACTGCTGCTGCCGCCCCTTGCACATTCTCTTGCTAGCACTCTATTACCCATGCTCCCTGCTTGTATGCACTGCCTGGTGCCACTGGAGGAAGGCCTGCAGCCAGCTGTGAGCATGGGCAGTGGGAGTGCTTATGAGCAGAGAAGGCAGGGACACTCAAGCCAGGGGGAGGCATGCAGGTGGGTTAATTAATTAATTATTGTATGGAATTGTGTGCAGAATAGCTAGGAGATCCTAAGACTGCCTGGCAGCAGAAGTTCTAGCTCTTTAGTGTTATGCACCACTAGGTGGCGAGCTAGACTTTGTTTTTAAGGCAAGAGACATTCCAGAGGTGGTTTGCCATTGCCTGCCTCTGCATCGTGACCCTAGTATTCCTTGGAGGTCTCCCATCCAAATACTAGCCAAGGCCGACCCTGCTTAGCTTCTGAGATCTGACAGGATCAGGCTAGCCTCAGCTATCCAGGTCAGGGCATGCAGGTGGGTGAGAGGGAAGGAGAACATGAGTGACTGGTGGTGGGCAGAGGAGGGGACATCTGGGAGCCTGCTTAGGGCTCCCCAAAACCTGGAACTGGCCCTGAGCTGAGGGCAAAGCTGTGAATATGTCAGGAGCAGGGTTCTGCAGAAGCACAGGAAAAAACATAGAGTGTGGTACTAGACACAGAATTCTGTTTCCTATGGCGCACTCAAGCAGTGGTTCTTAATCTTTAATTCACTTTAATTCAGGTTTCATTTTGCAGAATACAGCAAGTTTCTAGCCAAGTTTGAAAGTGTGGCCAATATATCTAATAAGTCTCAGAAGGGTGGCTGAAGATGTTATTTATTACATGCATATCCATCCGGGCTTTCTTCCACTGAGCCCCAAATCATACACATGGTCACCCCTCCTCCATGCAAAAACTCTGTGATGCAGTAAAGTTAGGCAACTCTTCTGCTGTTAGGGGTGGGGGTTCCAGGCCCTGCATAACTCCTAACCTCTCCCCATTATTAGCAGAACCAGAACAACAGTGAGATCCTAAGCAGAGTTACAGAATTCTAAGCCCATTGGACTTGAAGGGTGTCACTTTGTCTAGGATTGCACTGTACATTATGCAAAACTGATGTTTCTAAAAGCACAATAAATTACATCAAACAATAGAAAGCAAGCAGATTTTCTTAAATCTGTATAACTGGTAAAGGATTTGCCTTTTCTTCATGGAACGTTTGAATTGCCTTATGTAGAGTTTTAATATTTGTAGCACTCATAATAAGAGAACATACTGATGTAATATAAAAGCATGGGGATGCATAACTAGCAGCTCCCCAATATGGCTGATGATTTGTACTGTGGCTAGAATACCCTGTGTCTTGCTCTTGCAAAACCTCGTTGGTGTGGCTGGGTTCTTTCCAGACAAAGTTCCTACTGCAGTTTTCTGTTGGTATGCCACTTCTTATAGAGTGCTCTAGCAGTTTTTCTCCTCTTACTAACAGGAAATATTTGCCTCCTTCTAAGTTTGAAGGGGCAGAACTAAATGCCCTGAGTGAAATGGAAATATGTTTTTAAAAAACTACAAGCTTCTGGATTCATTTTATGGCATAGGTTTGATTCCAAATTGGGGAGAAAAATGGAACCTTTGAAGAGACACAGCACACTGTTTCATTTGGGTCTTGGTAGCTATAAAATTAATCCAGCAGACAGAGTGCCTGACTGGTCATATTTTCTTCTCCTCCGTGGAGAAGAAAGATTGACCGGCTGGTCAATGGATTCTTATGGATCCATTGACAAATCAGGGACTCAGAGGAATCCATTAAGGACAGCTCCCTGACCACTGAACTAGTGTTCTGGTGTGAATGGGCTTGGCTTAAATGGGATGGGACTTGCTTACTTGCACTGCTGAGATAAAGAAAGAAACTGATTTAGCAAGTAGCCTATCACCTGGGATTGCCAATCCATTTTGGGAACTTCCTGGAACTTTGCCTTGGGAAGGGCAAAGTTTCAGGAGGGGAGAAAGCTGAGCTGGGATGTGACGTCTCTTTAGCATTCCCATTTCCACCAGACTTACCACCCTTTGTTTCAAAGCTGCCATTTCCTCCAAGGAAATTGATCTTTGTAGTCTGAAAATCAGCTGTAATTCTGAGGAGAACTCCAAGCACTATGTTGAAGTTGGTAACCCTGGACTGTCTGTTGAGGACAGTAAGGAAGCAGACAGGAGAGGGCTGGAGGCAGCTCAAGTTGGTGGGGCTGTGCCCCATTTGTCCTTGTGGTGAACCAGCCTCAACTGATGGTGAAATAGGACAGGCACATTAACTAACTCCAAGCCTCTCTCAGTCCCAGAAAGAGGCACCATAGGAAGCAACACAAAGGAACTGGTTGAGGAATAGGGAGACAATGACATTCTCGTCCCTTCGAGTCCCAAGTCGTGGACACAGAAGGAATTCATACAGGCGCTTCAAATCAGCAAACAGTATTTAATTCACCAGTCTGTGGCATGAAAAACAAGATGGTTTCCACTGGAGCTATTCTGTTCCCTCTGGCCCACACACATCAGCCTCTCTCTCTCTCCAGGGCTCTTTGGACTGGTGAACAATGCAGGCGTGGCCAACCCCATCGGACCCACAGAATGGATGCACATAGAAGATTACCGCAAAGTCATGGCTGTCAACGGCTTCGGGGTAATCGAAGTATCTCTGGCCTTCCTACCTCTCCTCAAACAGGCACGTGGCCGCGTGGTCAATGTTTCCAGCGTTCTAGGTCGTATCGCGGCCAATGGTGGTGGCTACTGTATTTCCAAATACATGGTTGAGGCCTTCTCCGACAGCCTCAGGTAGGATTCCAGGTAGAGCTTTGCTTATTTTCATCCTTGTCGTCTTTCCCATTCTAGCACTTAGTCCTTTGCTCTTCTGGACAAACACTGCTTCCTTATGACTCATTCCATCCCCCCCACACATACCTTTTTTGCCATCTCACATCTCACATTTTCTTGATTCAAAAACATCCTCCTTTTATACCAGTTCCCACCTCCTTTTCTTTAACAGCCTCGTTCTTTCTGTTACTTTTTCACCCCAAAGCTCCTCTTCATCCTTGTAGAAGGTATACTTCCTACAGATTAAATTGCGCCTACAAGGAGAGTGGAGTAGGAATACCTTTGCTCCCCTTGTTAATGAGAAAAGGCTAGTCCTTTGTACTGGTAATACCCTTCTGACTTGCCAAAGCAAGAGGCCTGGCCTTAAAAACGAAACAGAGCAGTAGCTGAGACAAGGGCTGGAAAAATCCCAAGAAGTTATACATGGGTACACTGGCACCTGTGAATCCATAAACTCTTATACACCGCTGTGCAGGGTTAGGGCCCATTAATGTGAACTGTCTTCCCACTTTGCCCCAGCCCTCTCTAATAAATAGCCTTTTCCCCCTTACAAATGTGAAATCTGCTTTTTGTTCCACCACTCTGCCCCACAATTTTTCATCAAAGCATTCATGCTTAACAATCCTGTTGCTAGTGTCTCCTCATTAGGGTTGCCAAGTCAACTTACCTTGGCGGTGGGGGAGCCTCGCCGGGCTCCGGGAGCTCTCCAGGAATGCGTGCGCGCATGCGCCGCCAGCACATCACAGGAAGTGACGCGCTACGTCGCTCACGTTGGGGGCGTGGCCCCGATCGTCGGAGGGGAAAACGCTGCGCTGCAGAGTTCCCCCCGGGGCCCAATTCCGCGGCGGCGGAAATCGGGCCTCCAAAGCAGGGGTTTACCTGCCACCCGCCCCCACTTGGCAGCCCTACTCCTCATTCTATTTTAGTTCCCAAGAAATACTTTTTAGGGGGAGGGGAAACAGTTTCTCCCCTCATCTCAGCTTCTGCATTTTGAAACAGAAGCAATTAAAAGAAAAGTCGAAAGAGAACTTTAAAAAGCAACAACCCGTGAGTGGGGTTGCTGGGACTGAGTTGCAAAATACCTGGAGACTTTGGGGGTGGATCTGGGAGAGGGTGGGGTTTGGGGAGGGGAGGGGCTTTACCATGGTACAAGGCCACCCTCCAAAGCAGCCATTTTCTCCAGGGGAGCTGATCTCTGTCAGCTGGAGGTCAGTTGTAAAAGTGGGAGATCCCCAGGCCCCACCTGGAGGCTGGCAACCCTTCATGAGTGCAAAGTTTCTTGGGAAAAGCAGGTGCTACATGGCTTCTGCGAGTTCTGGAAATTCAGGACCGCCTTTCAAAAGGTAATTCTATTTCTCGCTTTTATAATTTTTTATAACACTTAAACTTCTATGTTATTACAAGCTTTTTCTGGTTCTTACCAGGTAGGCTACTGTTGGGAATTCTTTCTCATTGTCTTTCACATTGATTGAATTGTGCTGGTCAATGACTGTAATCAGGGCTTTTTTTGTAGAAAAAGCCCAGCAGGAACTCATTAGCATAATAGGCCACACCCAACAGCAGAAACTCATTAGCCTATTAGGCCACACCCCTGACAGCACAGGTCAATGGCATATTAGGCCACACCACCATGTTACCAGAAGTGTGGTTATCCAGCCACACCCACCTTTTGCTTCTTATTCTCTTTACCTTGTTTGTTGACAAAACCCAGGGCTTTTTTGGTAGCAGGAACGCCTTTGCATGTTAGGCCACACACCCCTAATGGTAGCCAATCCTAATGAGTTTCTGCTGTTGGGTGTGGCCTATTATGCTAATGAGTTCCTGCTGGGCGTGGCCACCTCGGGAGCCAGCCGGAACTCCGTTCCTGTGCGTTCCTGCCCAAAAATAGCCCTGACTTTAATAATAAACTGACTGACTGGACTGCCTTTCTATGCTCATCTCCAAGGAATAGTAGTTCCTCACCCCAAATGTCTAAACCAGCCAAATCCAGCTCGCAAACTGCTGCTGTTCAACTCTCCTTGGGTGGTCATATCCATGCACATACCACCACCACCACCCTTAGACTAGGGAAAACCAATTTCCACCTCTTCCATATGCAGAATGTGCTTCACCATCCAGCCTGATTTCCCTTTAATTAGAGCTCCTTGTTCCTCACTGGTGGTCTCAGCTATGTGGCCACCCAGGTGCTGCCCCGGGCCCGGGCCCCATGCTGCTGGCTGCCCAACCACTTCCCAGTGGCCCCGGTTGCTGCTGCCACGGCCCCCTCTGCTGCATGACCAGCGCCAGGCACAAGGGAGGGAGCAACAGAGGGTTGTTGCACCCACCTGGCTGCTCACTCACCCCGGGCAGCGGAGAAGGAGAACCGCACAATTAGGGCTGCCAACTCCAGGTTGGGAAATACCTGGAGATTTTGGGGGTGGAGCCTGAGGAGGGCGGGGTTTGGGGAGGGGAGGGACTTCAGTGGTGTAGAATGCCATAGAGTCTACCTTCCAAAGCAGCCATTTTCTCCAGGTAAACTGATCTCTGTTGCCTGGTGAACCGTTGTAATAGCAGGCGATCTCCAGCCACCACCTGAAGGTTGGCAACCCTGCTGCACCAAACAGCCACCATTAGACACCACTCCCACCTGCCTGCTTACTTGAGTCAGCTAGCCCTTTCCCAGGCAGTTGAGCAAGAGAGCAAGAGAGCAGCGGCTCTTACCATCTCGGTGCTGATCGGAGCCTGCAGCTTTGTGCGCTGAGCACGGGATGGGTGGAGGGGGAGCATTGCTGTGGATCCTGCCATTGCCTCTTCTCCCACTCTTTTTTGGTGACGGGCAGTAGGCCTGCTGGACCAGAGATGCAGGTCCTAATACGGAATGGATGCCTGTATGTTTGCCACAACAGGACTCAGAAGTCTTGTAAGTGAAACACCTTTTAATAAAGTCATCCTCTGGACTGAGAGAAGTGGCTCGTTAATCGATGGTATCATCACAGTAAACTGATCTCTGTTGCCTGATGAACCGTTGTAATAGCAGGCGATCTCCAGCCACCACCTGAAGGTTGGCAACCCTGCTGCACCAAACAGCCACCATTAGACACCACTCCCACCTGCCTGCTTACTTGAGTCAGCTAGCCCTTTCCCAGGCAGTTGAGCAAGAGAGCAAGAGAGCAGCGGCTCTTACCATCTCGGTGCTGATCGGAGCCTGCAGCTTTGTGCGCTGAGCACGGGATGGGTGGAGGGGGAGCATTGCTGTGGATCCTGCCATTGCCTCTTCTCCCACTCTTTTTTGGTGACGGGCAGTAGGCCTGCTGGACCAGAGATGCAGGTACTAATACGGAATGGATGCCTGTATGTTTGCCACAACAGGACTACTTGCAACTCCTTTTTGCCCCCCATTTCAGGTCAGGAATAGGGCACAGGAACAAAGGCCTCACTCTTCCCCTCCCATCACAGAAGTGGGCCCCTGCTTGATATTGGGGGGGGGGAATGCTGGGAGCACAGCATGTCTAGAGAGCCAGTTTGGTGTAGTGGTTAAGTGCGCAGACTCTAATCTGGAAGAACCGGGTTTGATTCCCCACTCCTCCACATGCAGCTGCTGGGGTGACATTGGGTCAGTTACAAGTTGTTTCAGAGCTGTTCTCTCAGGAGCAGTTCTTGAAAGAGCTCTCTCAGCCCCACCTACCTCACAGCGTGTCTGTTGTGGGGAGGGGAAGGGGAAGGAGATTGTGAGCCGCTCTGAGACTCCTTTGGTAGTGAAAGGTGGGATGTAAATCCAGTCTCCTCCTCCTCCTCCATCAGGTTTGGCCTATAAGTGCTGCCCGCTGTGACGCTGGCAACATTCCAGGCACATTCCAGTTTGGTGTAGTGGTTACGTGCACAGACTCTAATCTGGGAGAACCGGGTTTGATTCCCCACTCCTCCACTTGCACCTGGCTGGATGACCTTGGGCAAGCCATAACTCTGGCACAGCTGTCCTTGAAAAAGAGCAGTTTCTGTCAAGAGCTCTCTCAGCCCCACCTACCTCACAGGGTGTCTTTTGTGGGGAGGGGGAGGGAAAGGAGTTTGTAAGCCGCTCTGAGACACCTTTGGGTAGTGAAGGACGGGGTATAAATCCAATCTCCTCTTCTCTTCTTCTTCTTATTGAAGAGCAAGTGTAGTAAACTAGCTACCCCTTAGAACATCTTTCCAGAGCACACACACCCCCATTAACTTGTAAATTGTTTCTTAGGGCCTAGCCAGACAATGTAACAAAATGTGTCCCTGTGGGTTGCCAGCTCCAACTTGGGAAATTCCTGGAAATCTGTGTGGAGCCTGGGGAGGGATCTCAGTGGGGTATAATGGCATAGAGTCCACTCTCCAATGAAGCCATTTTATCCAGGGGGAAGGATCTCTATACTCTGGAGATCAGCTGTAATTCTGAAGGATCTCCAGGCCCTACCTGAAGGTTGGCAACCCCACACCCCATGCAATTTGTCCTTGGTGCGATGCAAGCTACTAGGCCTCATCCATCCTGTCCCCTCTAGGCAGAGGGTACTAGTCTTGGGGGAAGAAATGGGGGGGGGAGAACCCACTAGAAAATATACAGAATTAGACCTGGCTAGTGTTGCTTGCTGTTCTTTAAACAACCTCCAGCTGAATAAGCTCCCTAATGTGCCAGTGCCACACTCAACAAGGATATGAAAATGTCTAAAGTGGCATAGCCAGCAATAAGGAAGCTGGAATTGGGCTGCTATAATGACATCAGTGGCAGTAGCCAATAGATGCTCATGATGACACCCAGTTACTTTCCACATGACAACCCTAATAGTAAGTAATGCACTTTGGCTCAGTTCAGTCATCACATGAAATCATGATTTATTTTTAACTATGACTAGTTAGTGAAACTGCGATCACTCACATTCTGGTTTGCCTCAACAAATGCTGGTCTCATTGCCTTGGCCTCTGTAGGCAAAGGGCACCACCACGGAACAACCTGAACTAGGACGTTTACATCCACACATCATGGCGTTTCCCAGACAGCCTTAATGTTCCAGGTTCATTTCCCTTTGTTACCATCCCCCCACCACCACCACCCGTTCCCACACAGCTTTGTTAGCAATCCTTTGCTGTCCTGGCTTTTCAACAATTCCCACTGCACTTTCTGACATTTGTTTTCCCCATGTTTCAGAAAGGAGGGAAATGTTGAAAAATGGGACAGCAAGGGATTGCTAACAAGGCTGTGTGGAAATGAAGAAAAAAGGAACAATCACAGGGCAATGAAACTGGAACATGAAGGCTGTCTGGGAAATGCCTTTGTGTAGGGTAGGGAGGTGAGCCTCCAGGTGGAACGTGAGGATCCCCTGGAATTACAGCTCATCTCTAGATTATAGAGATCAGTTCCCCTGGAGAAAAGGGATGCTTTGGAGGGTGGACTCTGTGGCATTGTACCCCACTGAGGTTTCTGTCCTCCCCAGACTCCACCCCCCAAATCTCCAGGACTTTCCCAACCTGGATCTGACCACTCTACACCTGTCTCCTGCTGGTGGGCCACAGGGGTACCTGCCAACCCTACCTGTGTGAAACCATAGTTCCGACTATGATTAAAGAACCAATTTCAGATCCTGGCTTGATGACGGACTCTAGCTATAAGCGGAATACTCTGCATTCAAATAATCACAGTAGCCACAGTCCATGAAACCGTGGTTTCACATAACATCGTAAGGTGACAAAAAGTGATCATCTGCACAACCCTGTATTTCAGCAGAAGATGTTGAACAGCAGTGACTTCTAGTTACTTCATTCAAATCCTTCTGTTTTATTTGGTGTAACAAAACAGGTAAAGAAAAGCATTTATGATGTTAAAATATAATTACAGTAAAGGATGCTATTATATAATTATGGTGAAGGATACTATTTTCTGTTAGTGAAACCTGATTCCAAATGCTGCAGTTTGTTAAGTATAGAACACCTCTCTTGCAGGAGGGACATGTATCATTTTGGGATAAAGGTTTCCATTGTGGAGCCAGGCTTCTTCAAGACTGGATTGACTAATCTTGAAGCTATAGAGGCCTCCTTGCGGCAGCTCTGGGACCGCATGAGCCCTGAGACACGGCAGAGCTACGGAGAAGATTTCATTGCAAAATGTGAGTGCCACTGCAGCTGCAGCAGAAGAGAGGGAAAATGGACTTGAGGGGAAATGTAGCTATTAGCTGTACCAACCTCTACCTCAAAAGAGGCATTGGAAAGCAGCAGCAACCGGTAACTTCATTTAACCAAGCTGTTCTTCTTTCACCTTAAGCTGTGTGGCAAATTCAGATTCTGACCGTTCTGTTTTAATCAGCATTTTGTTTTCCTCACCCACTTGTAACCCAACACAATCCAAGAAAAGTTCATCAACTACGTATAGTTAAGGGTTTATGCATGTAGTATGTATAGTTAATGATCCCCTCTCATGATCCACCTAAGTTCACAGAATCAGCCTCTGTTTGAAAACCTCCAAAGGAGAGCCCACCACCTCCCAAGGAAGCCTGCTCCACTGAGGAACC